TGCGTGGCAGGCGTGGGACAATGTGCACTGCCAAGGGGTCGGATGTACGCCCTGGCGTCCCTCGGGCTCCGCCTCTTTTGCGTGGCAGGCGTGGGACAATGCTCACTCACTCACATCACTCACACTCACTCACTCTCACTCACTCACTCACTCACACTCACTCACACTCACACTCACTCACTCACTCACACTCACACTCACACTCACACTCACACTCACACTCACACTCACACTCACTCACACTCACTCACACTCACTCACTCACTCACTCACTCACTCACACTCACTCACTCACTCACTCACACTCTCACTCACTCACTCACTCACTCACTCACTCACTCTCACTCACTCACTCACTCACTCACTCACACACTCACATCACTCACTCCCTCCCTCACTCACCCGCTCACTCACTCACTTCACTTCACTTCACTTCACTTCACTTCACTTCACTTCACTTCACTTCACTTCATCCTCCTCCTCACTCACTCACTCCCTCACTCACTCACTCACATACATCATCATCATCATCATCATCATGTGCCAGCGATGTTTACCAGCCACAGGGCATGCAGAAAGAGATCACAAAATGTGCGGCTGCGCTCGAAAGAGTGCAGAACATTACTTTGGTCAGCGGAAGTATGGTGAGCACACCATCGTTTTGATAGTGTGTCGGAAAAAAAAACATCAGAGCCTGGTGGAGCTCGATGAAAGCGAAGCAACTTACTCACAAACAACTTACCCTACGTACATACATACATAGATACCTAAATACATACCTACCTACCTACGTCCCTCCATCACTCTTATCCTTCCTCTTCCCTTCTCGCTTTCTGTGCTCCGTCTAAGTCTGTTTCTTCACTGAGGTCGATGCCTTCGTCCTTACCAAACGGTTCGGCTTCGGTCGAGCCGACACCACGTTGGCCGGTGGTGGGGACGTTAATGGGAGGCTTCACACTCACTCACACTCACTCACACTCACTCACTCACACTCACTCACATTCACTCACACTCACACTCACTCACACTCACTCACATTCACTCACATTCACTCACTCACTCACTCACTCACTCACCTACCTCACCTACCTCACCTACCTCACCTACCTCACCTACCTCACCTACCTCACCTACCTCACCACCTACCTCACCTACCTCACCTACCGCACTCACTCATTCACCCACTCACTTCACTTCACTTCACTTCACTTCACTTCACTTCACTTCACTTCACTTCGCTCACTTCACTCACTCTCACATCCCTCACTCACACACACCACACTCGCATCACTCACTCACACTCTCACTCACTCACTGTACATGAACATACATACATACACACAAACTCGCCCACCATCACCGCTCCATCACTCTTATACTTCCTCTTCCCTTCTTGCTCTTCTATGGTCAGTCTAAGTCTAAAGAAGTTGGTAACATGTGGGGTTATCCGGTCCTTTAATTTGGGAGAACACACATCCACAACAAATCAAAGACATCTGTTTCAAGCAAAACTGCCCTGGAGGGGTCTTCCGAAAATCAGATCCATATCTGAATGGTCAACTTTTGATAAAATGATCACGTCTTCTTTGTCCAGTCCAGGTTTGCTGTGTTTCACGCAAAACAACCAGCAACCAGCGACCAGCACAGGAGGAAAGATGCGAAGGGAGATGGGAAGGATCATGGCCGGGTTTCGCCCAAAAAGAGCCAGACTCAAAGATCTCCAAAGGCCAGGGACAGGGATGACAGTCGGCAAGAGGTTGGCATCACTTCTGTCTTGATCAAACAAAGTGACAGAAAGGCAGTGTGGGAATCTTCAATTTGTTTCTCAGCGAAATTACCTCAGGCGGTGACTGCCAGAAGTGCGAAGAGGTCGCATGAGGCCGGGTGAAGTGTCGGGGTCGATGTTTGACGAAGCTGTTGGCTCTTCATTTCTAAACCGGCTCTATGGTCTCAAGGAGAAAACCTGCAGATCACTTGAAGTCGAGACGTGACAAAATGAGACTTGACTTGACACAACACGAGTTGAGCGGATAGAGTCGGATAGAGCCTCCACAAATGTCCACAATATATTTGCCCTGAGGCATTGGAACTGCCAGGATTGTCCAAAGTGATGGCACTTCTGCCCAATGTCCCCAGCAAGAGGCTCGCAGGGAGCTTCGTTTTTCGGCCAGCGATTGTGCAAAAAACATGCTTTCTCCACAGAGACTCCTGGTGCGGTCGCTGATGGAAACTAATCCACAAAATTGTGTTCATCAGTCGTGGCTACGGGAAATTGGACCCAAAATGTCCCTGGATAAAGCTCGTTGGGATGATTTGGAGGGTACCCCAAAAACCTTTGCATTCGTCGCTGGCGTCGCCATTCCAGGTGCAAGCGATGAGCTTCCCTATGGCCTGGCGAGCGACGTGAAAAGCTGATCCAATCTGACGCATGGGTTGCTCGGATGAATCTCACAGATTCGCGAAGAAAGGCTTTCAGACTTTGGTGACATGAGCTTTATTGCAATGCGTTGCTATGACTCTTGCAATGTCCACAGCGATGCCATAGTTCAGCTGTTGCTGTTTTATTTTAACTTTGACTCTGGGTTTTGGCCAAAGTCTGTTGCGTCCGGCCAGAGACTGACCGCGTGCCATTGCCAAAAGATGCAATGTCTTCAACGTCCAGGGGCGAGGCATGGTCCCTGGCAGAAGGCAGCCACTGAATTCAAGATTCGATCCGTAGTGCACTGCAATCACAGATGCAACTGCATCTTTGCTGGCAGCGTTGCCAAACAATCAAAGGATGAAACCCTGCCGTGAACAAGCGTGGGAAAAAAGGACCCTTCAGAACCCCCCAAAGAAGCCTTGCAAGCCCAATCAACAAGATGGCAGCTACAACCCGAACACACCAATCAGGAAAAATGCCAAAGAGCTGAAAAGTTCACCAAGCGCCCAACTTATGAAAAGTAAGAGCCCATCTTGCTTGCCATCTACCTGGGGAAAAACACCACATGTTAGCTATGGAAGTAGGGCAATGAAAAAAACAAGCTGGCATGGTAAAACAGCGGCAATGCATCACACGCATCAAATCACAGGATATAAAGCTGTGTTTTGTGCGGTGCCACTCAAGATGCGACTTGAGCCAAGCCCACCGAGAATTTTTTTCGAAGAAATGCGATGATAATGAAACTGTTTAAGATGAAATGACCCATGAAAGTGCCAATCTCGCAAAATAGTTGCTAAACATACGTAGAGAATTGGTATAGTTTGTCACGGAAAAATGCTTGTGGGCAATGTTGAGCTGCGTCATACCCCAGGTAAATTCACGAAGAGAAAAACCTGCAGAATGTTTGGGCGATTCTCGCTGGAGGTTTAGGAAAAAATACATTTTGAGCGCACGGTGTCTAGATTTCAGCTACTAATTTTGCAGCTCGCAGCTTGAAAATGTTAATTCGAATCGTTACGGATACATGGCACATCGCTCTTTTCACCACAGCTTCCTCCCTTTTCTTTGCCGGTGAGGTTTCGTCTTCACCGATTGACCTAAAGTATTTATGTTTTTGGGAATTTATCTATCATTTTGATACCACTAGTACCGCACAAGGCGGTGGCGGAAGTTTCAAAAATAGGAAACCTATAGGAGAGGTTGGTTGTTGTGAATCACGGATGGCAGAGCGGATCCACTGGTGGACCGACAGGTAGTTGGAGTGTGGTTTTTGGAACAGTTGCAATGGTTGCAGTGGTCACTTTACCACAACTGCTGGATGTAGTGTGGTGTAGTGCTGTTGTAGTTGTAGTTGCAGTTGTAACTGTGGTTATAGTGTAGTGGAGTGTAGTGTATAGTTGCAAGTGCAGTTGTGGTCGTGGTGTGGTGTAATTAGTGTATTGTGGTGCAGTGTAATGTCGTGGAGTGTTGTGTAGTGTAGAGTGGTATAGTGTAGTGTAGTCTAGTGTAGTGTAAGGTAGTGTAGCTGTAGTTGTAGTGTAGTGCAAGTCGTATTAGTGTGTAGTGTAGTGTAGTTGCAGTTGTAGCTGTTGTAGTTGTAGTGTAGCGCACTGTAATCAGTGTAGTGTAGTGTTGCGTAATGTAGTGTGGCCGTAGTTGTAGCTGCATTTGTCGCTGTAGTGTACTTCAGTGTAATTAATGTAGTGCAGTTTAGTTGTAATTGTAGTTGTGGTAGTAGCTGTTGTTGTAATTGTAGTGTAAATTGGTGTAGTGTAGCGTAATTAGATTTAATTGGTGCAGTCTAGTGTAGCGTAGTGTAGTGTATTGTAAAAGTCCATTGTAATGTAGCGTAATACAGTATATTTGTATTTGTAGTTGTAGCAGTGGTGTAGTGTAGTGCAGTTTCAGTTGTAGTTGTAGATGTAATTGTCTATCTGTCTGTCTGTCTGTCTGTCTGTCTATCTGTGAGCTTGAAAACGCAGACTTGCTGCGAGACTTCCTCAATCTTTGAACTTGACAACATCCAAAACAAAACAATTCTGCGAGACTTCCTTCAAAAATGGAAAGCTGAGTGCAGAGCTGACGGCCTCGTACCAATGCGTTTTGCGATTTTTCCACTCCACCTGTCTAAAGTATGGCGCCTGTCACGAAAAAGCGATGCCAGGTCATAAGAAGTGCTGCACCTGTCACGCAAAATCATCTTAGCAAACCTACAGATCTGATGCTCCAAAATGCAACCCATCTCAGGAAATCAGCGCCCTAACTTCCTAACATCTCTGATGAACATGTCTCTTGTATGATACCTGCCACGGAAAATGCATCTTTGCAGATCTTCTTCAAATGTGACAAAACCCTCACGTATTGCTCACTTTTGACAAGGTGCATAATCCCTTGCGCCTGCTTTGCAAAACAACATCTGAACGTCCACATGTGCTTCGCGCCACAACGGCGTGCACTTTTTCGACATCTCAACTTCCAAAAGTGCTCTGAACCCGTCAGCCTTTTACGCTTTTGACTTCAAAATGTGCTTTGCGCCACAACGGCGTGCACTTTTTCGACATCACAACTTCCAAAAGTGGTCCGAACATGGCATGCTTTGTACATTTTGAGTTGGAAACGTGCTTCGCGCCACAACGGCGTGCAATTTTTCATCTCTCATCTGGCCAGATGGCTCCGCACCCGCCGCTTTAGCGAGCCTACTTTTCGACCCTCCGGAGCCACAAATCATTGGTAAAACACAGTGGTTCGCGGCTTTCCTACCTTTTCGCGCACCTGGATCTTCTTTCTTCTGAGACTTTCTCCTTTTTGATCTTCTTTCTTCTTCTCCTCTCTTCTCTGAATCTTCCGATCTCTGCTTTTCATCTGTCCATATTGTCGGAAGTTTGACTTCTAAACTTCCTTCGACAAGTAGTTCCCGGGCAAGCCAGGGGCGCAAGTTTCAAAATTGAAACGGTTATAGCCGATAGAGCTTAACAAAGACTGTGCCTATAGGTGACGGGCAAGCCTTCTGTGCTTCGCAGCAACAAGCTCTTGACTTGTCAATGTGGCTTCATGCTTTTTGAATGTTGAATCTATTCTCATTTCATCTGATCTCATCGCATCGCAGCTTCTCTTGGAAATTGCTCATGCCATCCCATTGTCACCGCAGTCTGTGTCATCCCATCTCATCTCAACTCATCTCATCTCACGTCTTGTCAGCTTTTTTCACCTCATCTTATCCCATCTCAATTCTTCTCTCCCTTGCTCAGCTCTTCGCGGCTGGTCACAACTGTTCTCTTCTCTTCTCATGTCACCTGAGCTTTTCTCATCTCTTCTCATCTCACCTCAGCTTATCTCAGGTTTTCTCAAATTTTCACAGCTCTTCTCAATTCTTCTCAGCTCTCCGCAGCTCATGTCAGCTCATCTTATGCCTTCTCATCTCCTCTTTCTCTTCTCACATCTTCTACGCTCTTCTCACACCTCCTCAGCTGACCTCAGATGTTGTCAGCTCGTCTCACCTCATCTCAGCTCTGCGCAGCGCACTCTCAAATCACCTCAGCTCTTCTCTGGCCCAAAACTTGCCCAAACAAGGATCTCGGTGCCAAAGCAAGCGACCCCTTGTACGCAGCAAGCTTCTGCACAGAGAAGCTTGTACACACAGAAGATTGTACACACAGAAGCTTTTACACAGGGACAGGGAAGCTTGTACATAGAGACAAGGAAGCCTTTACTCACAACAAGCTTCTACACAGAGCAAGCTTTTACACACAGCAAGCTTTTACGCACACAAGCTTTTGCACACAGAAGCTTTTACACAGAGAAGCTTTTACACAGAGAAGCCTTTACACAGCGAACATTTTACACACAGCAAGCTTTTACACATATAGAGAAGCCTGTACACAGAAAAGCTTTTACGCACAGCAAGCTTTCACACAAAGAAGCCCCTACACAGAAAAGTTTGTACACAGAGAAGCTTTTACACATTTAGCTTTACACAGGTTTTACACACAGCGAGCCTCCACACAGAGGAGCCCCTACGTTTCACAGGGAAGATTTTACACACAGCAAGCTTTTACAGAGAGAAGCTTTTACCACAGAAGCTTTTACACACACACAAGCCTTTGCGCACGACGATGCCAGAAATTGCAGATCCAAAACTGGGTCTCGGCGCCAAGGCAAAAATAAGACGATTTTGACAAAGAAATTTATAAGGAACATCACCAGCGCCAGAACTGGGAAAATCTGCTGACAGATCACTAGCGCAACCTTGATGCAACCATTCCAATAGGATTTATGATGTCCAGCTGCAAAAGACACAGACAATAGCATTACGCACGCCGCGGCGCCACAGCCATTACAATGCAATCTGCGGAGACTGAGCTGCAAAACACAATAGAACTACGCGCAACAGCGTCAGAAATTGCAGCTCGACAACCGGATCTCCGTGCCAAAACAAAAAGACGCACTTTTTCTAACGGAAATTTAAAAGGAAAATCAGCAGCGCCAGAATTGAGAAAATCTGCTGACAAATCAATATCGCAACCTTATATATGGAGCCCAGCTGCAAAAGACAAAAAACATTACGCACGCAGCCGCGGCGCCAAGCAACCTTGACGCAGCCATTATACGGCGATCTGCAGAGCCTGAGCCGCAAAACGCAATAGAATTGCACGCAAGAACGTCGGATTCTGCAGCTCGAAAAAGCGTCGCAAAACGCATTTCGTGCGAGGCCTCCTTGAAAAGTGACAATTGAAGATGTGAAAACGAAGCTTTTGTGCGAGACCTCCTTCAAATTTTGAAAGATCAAGTTGTGAAAATGACGCCTGAACTGGAAGTTCCATTGCGGCGCCGATCCGAACATGATCCTGGTACAACCGGTTCCGTATGATAAAGAATTGTGTGAAAATTGTGTCTGTGACATGATAGTATGATGATTTGTATGGTCGAAAATATCTGAAAAAATAATATAAATTAAAATTATATATTAAAAAATATGTATAATGAAATTATATATAATATAAGATTAGAGAAAGAAAATACGGGAAAAATTGAAAAAATAAAATAATATAAAATAAAAAATAATAATGAAAAATAATAAA